TAGTGCAATGCTATCATACAATGGGAGATATTCATAAAATCTGGAGCAGTTGCCCATAGCAAGCAATCACCCTCTCTTTTCATTCAGTTAAGCTTTGAAAATGAAACAGAGAAGCTGATTGGTTGCCATGGGCAACTGCTATAGATTCAGTCTGCTCCAGTTTTGATCAATTCCTCCACTGTATTTTAGTGGTAATAGTATGTTAGTTACATTATTTGTAAGTTTCTGTGCAATAAAATAACCACAACCACAAGGTTCCTATAACCACCCATAGGAGGTAATGGACGTTGAAGGTCCAGGATGACCAGTTAATTCAAGTACAGTACTTACAAAATGAAAAGCCCCCTCCAATATACGTAAAAGGCAAAAAGAAGAGGAATCAAAAAAGCTGACTCCTATTTTTAGAAGGGTGGTGACACATAGGCTGTATTTAGCCAGTGTATTATTTGTTTAGTAGAAGTTTTTTAAAAAGATCACTTGTGGAGTTTATATTGCCCCTTGGTGCTTTTTTTCAGCCCTGCCTGAAAGGGGGTGTAAAAGAGCATTTGTTTTATGTCATAGCTGTTGCCAGGGCCTGAATTTCCTTAAAGTGCAACTAAAACCAATGTTTTTTAGTTTTGGATGTGGAGTGGAGAGGGATTACAATACCCGTGTGTGTCTCCATTACGGAGATTTGCCCTCTCTATTTGTCCTGGTGACCGATATTACTGAAAGCCAAAGAAAATCTTACATTTTGAGTTGTCATCAGAACAGGATTAAAAATGGAAAATCTTCCAATGGGAAGACTAGTTCTGATGATTATGGTGACCATCAGGGCTTTCCATTACTTAAGAGGGTCTTTCCTCTCACTTCCTGTTGTGGCCTTCAGACAGAAGACAAATCTCCCCAATGGGACTCAAATGGCAAAAACAAAAACACTGACAGGGGTTTTAAACCTCCTTAACCAAAACTTTAAAAAGTTTTTGCTCCAATTCCACTTTAAGTTTCAAATGCAGCTGAACGTTTTTGAGAAGCTGCTAAAACTAGTTTTTATTTTGTGTGCTGCTCCTTGCTTACATGCCTTGCACTTATAGCAGTAAATATTTTTTGTTATCAGCATGATCAGATGAGCAGTAGATGCACTAAACCCTTTTGGACTCATAGGTCTGGGGAGTCCTCGGTGATGGTCATAAATGCTCATTAAGTACCCCGTGTCTGAACAAACCCTTAAAACCAGATGAAAAACTGCCTACCACACCCCTACATATCGAAATGTCGCAAGACAAGAATAAAACTAGTGTTATAAAGTAGCAGGTATCTCGGTTAAAGCTGTCTTACCTTTTTGATGTTATATATTCGGATCAATACTCCTTTTCCCCTGTCGTTTAGTATTAGGAGCTTTTCAGCCAGTTTGTGTTGGTAGGTTGAACTTAAAGCCATCTTGTAACAGCAGAAACGTTATATTATTCTCTGTATTGTAGATTATCTTATTCTCTCCTCTGAAAACGTATTATATTTAAATTCAGCGACCACCATAGACTTCACATGAATCGACAATGAGCACAAAATCTCTGAAGGCCCATGAGTGTCCAGATAGACCCTCGGAATGTAAGATTCTGAGGCAACGTCTGCTTCCTTTCTGAAACACTGCACACTAGTCATCTAGACATGGGTTGCAATGTTATAGACACCCACTGACACACAAACTTACAGACTGACACAAAATGCAGAAGCTGATGGAGAACCTCTAACTAATACCACTTCCTCTTTGTATCTGCCTATGCTGTCAGTTTCAGCTTGTGCATGGAGTTTACAATATCAACTATGTCACTGTGCTTTTTTTGTCTATATCATTTGAGACAGAAAAACATCTAAGAAATTCAGTGTAACAAATATAACACATTATAACACATCCATACTTTGTTTAATTGTGAGTCACAAAGAAGATTGTGTAGATTCCTAACATAGAAAAATATATTTAAGGTCTGGAAATTAAAATTGTAAGTTATTTTTATTATTATTTATACCATCATCCTTAATGTTTCAACAATATACCAGCAATATGTAAAGGACTCATACCATTCGGTTCTAATACAGGATTGATATACTGTCGTGCCAAGAGTTTGCGCAGTGCTTTACAAACTACAGTGAGACAGTAAAGTTCCAATACAATTTAAGACAAGAGGGTAAAGAGGGCCCTGCCCTCGAGAGCTTACACTCTGAAAAGGAAGGGCAAGTGATAACAAAAGGTGGTAGCTGAGAGGGGATGAGTTGTTTGAGAAAGTACCATTTCATTTGTTAGGTAGAGGTGGAATAGGCTTCCCTTAAGAGATGAGTTTTCAGGAATTGCCTAAAGGCAGACAGAGTAGGAGATAGACAGACTGGTTGTGAATATGGAGTTCCAGAGGATGGGAGAGACTGTAGAGCAGTCCTGGAGGTTACTATAGGATGAGATGACGAGGGAGCTAAAGAGCAGGAAGTCTTGGGAGCAGCAAAGAGGACAATTTGGGTGATATTTTGAGATGAGGTTGGTAATGTAACTGGGGGCTTTGTATGTTATTGTTAGTATTTCTAATTGTATTCTTTGGGCAAGCAGAAGCCAGTGGAGGGATTGGAAGAGAAGGGTGGCATCCACTGAGCAGCTGGTAAGGTGAATGAGTGTGGCAGAACCATTTATGGTAGACTGAAAGGGGGATAAGCTGTCCCAGTTTCCTATGTTGCTCCCCAAGAAAATGAATTGCCCATGCCTGCTGTAAATAGTGTGAGCAGTGTGTGGTCTCTAAAGCCTGTGTGTCAGTCTGAGCGCAGAGAGTACAGACCAGAAGTGTCCATGACAAAGTTTCCCATCAGGCTGTAAATTGTAGGGGGTGGCAGCTTAGATTAGTTAATTTGTGTGTGCGTGTTGTGTCTTTATTAGTGATGGGCCGAACACCCCCGTGTTCGCTTCAAACTCAATGCAAGTCTATGGGGGTAGAACTTTGAAAATCAAATGTCCCCTTTTTGAAGCCTTATATGCAATTTTTTGGCCATAAAAAGTGTATGGGGATCCGGGTACTGCCCTGGGGGACATGAATCAATGAAAAGAAAACCTTTAAAAAATACAGTTTTTAAAGGAGTAGTGAGTAGGAATAGTAACAAAAAAAATGAAAAATTCCTTTAAATATCGTGTCTGGGGGGTCCCCTTAAACTGCCTGTAAAGTGGCACATCTGTACAATGTATAGAACCTGCTGCTGCAAAACTGACGTTTCTAAATAATAAAATTACTTTTTTTTTTTAAGCGTGCGGTTCCCCTTCACAAACAATACCAGACCCTTTAGATCTTGTAGGAATGTTAGGAGGGACCCCATAAAAAAAAAAATAGAAAAGTGTGTGGGTTTCCCCCAAAAGTCATACCAGGCCCTCAAGTTCTGGTAGGAATTTTAAGTAAAAACAACACACATCATTGGCTGTCCCACAATATGACAGAGCCACACTGCACCCAGGGGGGTACAGGCAATGCCAGAGACCTGGAATAAACCAGATAACTGCCACTATAATTCCAGCCAGGCTGACTACAGCCCTGGCTACCACTAAATGTCTAGTAGCCACATCACAGAAGGTGATGGGGGCTACATCCGTTCCCCGATCTACTCTGTGACCACTGGCGCATAAAGTGTTCTCAACGCTTCCTGCTTAAGCTGTCAGAAGCCAGCTGAAGTGCTGGGTATACATACTATCAAGCACATTCCTGTGCTTGCTGATCTGTATGGGAGGGCAGTAAAGACATCAATGGTCTAATTGACCCCTGATGTCTCCGTAAAAGAGAGCCCGTCACCTCCAAATTACGTCACATAGGAGCTTGTTACCCATGTTATTAAAAGCAAAAGTTAGGTGGAAATTTTTTTGAATAAAGGTGATATAAAAATAAAAATAATAAAATAAAAATAAATGTAAAACCAACCCTGCCACCCCCGCCATTTGGTTCTAATGAACACATGCATGTAAGGCATGCAAGTGTATGAAAACAGGAGGGACTTCTAGCAAAATAAATAAATAAACAGTGTGACGCACTGGGATCGGCACATTAGCACTGTGCCTGAGAACAAACACCAGCAGTGGTGCGTTGTAGTGCAGATGCTGGTGTGAATGCAGCCTATATGGCGGACCGTGGTACGGACAAGAACTGGGTTACCATTCTATCAGGACCGTGATTCGGACCTCCTTGAATTGGAATTCACTACCTCTTCACTAAAGGGAGGGTATCAGAATTCCCTATGTTTCCAATACATACTTATGATCCAAAACAGAGCATGGCCTGACACTGCCAGGGTTGGATCCTTTTAATTGCTGCTTAGATTCCTATTTGAGAGATGTACCTTATCTGCTTGTCCTGGTGACCATTGTCACCTAAACAAGAGTGATGAAGTATTCAGATGTTACCATTGTTATTGAACAAGAAAAGAGGGGAACACTTCCAAAGAGGACATCTGTTTTGGGAAGGTTTCCTCCCCTTGTTGTGTCTCTGGGACAGGAAGGAAAGGGAAATCTCCCCAAAAAGACACAGACAGAAAAAAAAATTGACAGTTATATCTGTTGGTTATGTGTTTATATGAAGTACTGAAATCTTGAGGAATGCTGAATTAAAGGAGAACTATGAGGTGAGTGACTCATCCTCATAGTTCGAGCCGACGTGTGGCAATGAAACTGTCACACGTCGACTCAATAGCAGGGGCGTATTTACCGAGAGGCAAACAAGGCATTTGCCTGGGGTGGCACTTTCCAGGGGGGCGGCCCTAGGCAAATGCCTTGTACCGTGAAAGTCTGTCTCACAGCGTAAAAGCTCTGTGTCACGCACGGAGCCTGCTTGTGGAGGAGAGGGGGGAGGGCGGGTGCCGGCCACAGAAGACGGGAGGGGTGAGCCCAGTAGTGAAGCGATGACTGCAGGCGGCCACAAAACCGACATGCTGCAGTGAGGGAAGAGCGGCTCTGTGATCGGAGGAAGTGACGCGGTGATGGGAGGAGGCGGCACAACTTCTAGTCAGCGGCGGGAGTTCTAGTCAGCGGCGGGAGTTCTAGTCAGCGGCGGGACTCTGTGACAGTTGGCTGCTCGGCTCTGCACACAGGGAAACTTAGAGGGAGCACGGTTCAGTGGGGTCACCTGTAAGGTAAGTGGATCGACGGGGGGTGAGCACAGTACTGAGTTTGCTCCATGTGTGAATTACATGGAGTGGGTTGAGGCAGAGCAGCGTTCAATGTTGTACTGTTGTATGGGAAATGTGACATGGCCTCTTCCTTTTTAAAGAGGAATGGAGGCAGACAGTGATGGTCACTATGCATACTTTTCACCCGGAGGATTTGTTCACACCAATTGCGTTGCGTTCCAGAGCGGGAGCTGCTGGAACGCACCGCAATTGCTCACAAACTTCCCTCTGCGTTCTGGGGCGGGAGGGGGCGTGATGATGCATTGAAGTCAATGTAACTGCAGCCAAGCTCCCGCGAGCACAGTGCGTTCGGACGCATGGCAAAACACTTCCTGCGCTCCTTTCCACTGCAAATGCAAAAAATGCTGCATGCTCTATTTTTTGCGTTTGCAGTGGAACGGAACACAGGAAATGTTTTGCCACGCGTCCGATTGCACTACGGGCAGGGGGGGGCGTGGCTACAGTGCCATTGACTTCAATGCACCGCTACGTCCCCTCCTGCCACAGAATGAAGGGGGGCGTTTTGTAAGCGATTGCCATGCGTTCCAGCACCTCCCGCTCTGGATTGCAATACAATTGGTGTGAACAAGCCCTCAGGGGTTCATAGAAGCCTAGGGATCGTCCAGAGGTTCTGGGAGAGATGGGCAGTTTCTACTTCTCACATACAGTATGTGTCTTCTTTCTACCACGGTGTCTCTCCGTGTGCATTGACTTACCTTGTGTCTCTCTTCTCCTGGCCGAAGATCTCTACTGCGCATGCGCCCGCCCCATCATCCCTTGCGGCCACCCGGGAATCTTTAAATCTTCTAACGGGACCGCCCGGCGGAGACACAGGTAAGTTTTAACCTTTTAGTAACTTTTTAAAATGTTTTTGCATATATCTTCTGCTTGCTAGCTGATCTATATATACACCGCTTGCTAGCAGTAGATATACAGTATGCAAAAACATTTTTTTCACTTTCCACTGACCAGCCATGTAAGGAGCATTCTTCACACTGACCACCAAAATAATGGCACCCGTCTACACTGTTCATCAACCTCTGCACTCTGTTACACACTCCGGATCCCTGTACTGCCCTGACAACAATGTATACTGCTCTGCCGGGCTGATGCCCGCCCAGCCAGTCAGTTCTGTATGATAGGCTTAGCAATCTCGATCCGCCCCGGCTGCGGCGGTCTCAGTATACCACGAGCTACAGCTCGCGATATACTGAGCTTTGGTTCACAGGAGGAGGTTAGTATATGTCCTCCCGTGACCCTTAAGAGAACTATAGGGAAAAACACTTACCCCATAGTTCTAT